GGAACAGCAAACTGTTTAGAATGTTGGAGGCAGGACTCAGGCAACGCAGCCAGTGGATAGGGAGACCCTCTGAATGACAGATCATTCAGCCAACTGATTTTGGAGCATGTTGGAATGTTCAGGGGAGTCCATGACCAAAACAGAATTATATATAAGGAGAGATGAATGCAAAGCGCAAGTATACACTAAAAAAAACCCTATGACACATTACAGATTTAATCTTACCCCAAATTCAAAATTATTATAACAGCAAGAGAGATGGGCACGAACCAAATCAAGAAGCAAAATTTGTGATGGATTTTGTCCTGTTCGTGGCTCATAAAAAGAAGTTTGCGACAGGTTCACTGTCACGGACCTCCTGTTTGTGGTGGCTCATGGATGGATCCCTGATCCCTGCAAAAGCCACAAAAACAGCTGAGCAGCGGAGAGGCGCTCCCCACCACTCAGCTGTTTCAGGCTGTCTTCTGCAGTCCTTTTAAAGTTTAAAGGGACTGCAGAAGACAGCCTGAAAGAGCTGCGCAGTGAGGAGCACATCCATGCCATGCAGCTGCTTTTCATGCTGTCTCCTGCTGGCCCTCTAAAGTTTAAAGGGACTGCAGAAGACAGCGTCAAACAACTGAGCACTGGGGAGCGACTCCCTACCGCTCAGCTGTTTTTCGGGCTTTCTGCAAACCCCATTTAAAGGGACTGTAGTCCCTTTCAATAGGGTTTGTGGGGCCACAATCCGCATGAACCAGCTTGGTTGTGAACAAGCCTCCAGGTTCGTGGTCCAGCCATGAACTGAACCATATTTTCCTGGTTCGTGCCCATACCTAGACAGCACCACATTAAATATACCTGCTGAAATATCTAGAAACTAAAAATTAAATACAATTAATCCTTTCTAGGAACAGTTTTGACTAAAAAATGTAGCTTATTTCTATTATTTGTTTCTCAGAAAGATTAACTTTTACCAGGGAAAAAAGTCTCAAGTTAATTTTCCCTCCCAGATTTCTAATACAACTTTTTCCATAATGTAGTCCATTTCAAGTCAAGCAAATGATCAGCTCTTATTTCCTTCTTGGTGCAACCTCTTCCCATTTCTGGACAATCCAACATGTAGCAACTTTTAATAAATGAGAGCTCAGTTTCCTGTTTCGAGTCCAGATCCGTCCAGTTAGCTAGGCTGAGTTTGAAGCAGCAGTGGGCAAAAGGAAGACCCCAATCTACTGCCAGACATCACCTATGACTCCAAAATCATCCTTACCCTCTGTCCGCTAGCTTAAACAGAGGGCTCAGGTCTACAGCCCCCTCATCCTAATTTCCAGAAGGATCTGACCCATATGAGCGCTGTCCCCGTTGCTATGGCAAGCCATCTTGTTAGCTGCAGTGCAGCCACTTCTCTCTGGTAAGTAAGACGGCTGACACAAAGTCCTGTTTAAAAATGGCAAAGGAGGTATCATCACTTCTCTCACCTGTGATGGTATTCATCACCTGTAAAACTATTGCATTAATTGACCAAGTCTTTAATCTCATTTAGGAGCTGGTGCTGGAATCCCTGGCATGCAGTAACTCAGATAGAGTTTGTACTTCTGTAGGCTAGTATCCCAGTCTATGGCATAAACGGTGCACCAGGTAGTTGCAACTGCCTCTGCCTTATGGGACAAGCCTTACTTTGCAACTGGTGGTACCTGAAGCATCAGTTAAAGAGAAATAGCTCTCCTTCTTCAAAGCAATTATAATTCTAGTTATTTTTATTACTTTTCCAGGCCTCCTATTGGCTAAGCAGGTGGCAGCAGTGGCCAGAGGTCCCTCTCATCAGTTTGGGCTAGTGAACCAGCTTTGGCCTTTCGTAGGCAAAGAAGATCTTGCCACTGTGGAATTTGCCTTGGTGACATTAGACTATTGAAATGCACCATACATGGAGTTGGACCTGAGGAGTGTTTGGAACCTACAGTTGGTACAGAATGCTGCAGCCGAAATTATGACTGAAGTGGGTCATAGGGACCACATCACTCCCACCTCATTCCGTTTACACTGGCTCTCAATCAGCTTCTGGGCACATTTCAAGGCACTGGTATTGACCTTTAAAGCCCTATACAGCTTGTGACCAACATACGTTAAAAACTCACATATGAGTACCTGACCACAGTTCTTCAGGAGGCTAGAAAGGTAGCATGCTGAGAAAGGGCCTTCTCAGTTGTGGAACCAAATTATGGAATTCCTTCCCCAGGGAGATCTGTCTGTCCTGCTCTCATTGTTTTCTGCAAGCAGGCAAAGACATACCTGTTTCATCTGGCTTCGCTCACTAACCTTCTTCCCATGCATATGTCTTACTTGTTTTTAATAGTTTGTGCATTATGCATTGTAAGAGCTATTACTTGATAGTTCACTGCCTTGAGGACCCTAAGGAGGCATTAAAATGTTTCAATAAAATAAATATTTCCCTTCACTATCACAGCGCCTTTGGACTCCATATCATCTGCTGTTTAATCTCCATGATGTGATGTCAACAAGGAAAAAAGCAACTTTTCAGTAAAGCTGATACAGGATGACATTCTAAGCACTTTTTTCATCTGCCTTGAATCTACTACTGATCAACCTCAAATTCCAGTGTTCTTGGCCATGATATATAATACACACATACACACAAGACTGAAAGGAAAAATGACAAATGAGACCGTGGTGCCAGCAGCTGTTGTAAGGATCGTGAAAAAGGGGTTCTTGAGAGGTAACATTAATTGAACTAGCAAGTCAGGGAATGAGCATAGCAACACCACAGTCTATTTTAAAACCCTGCCTCCCTGTAGAGAACAGTACTACTACCACTATTCCATTATTCTCTGAGGTTTTACCCATATTGGTTCGGCTACTTTTGTCTGAAGAAAGGCCACAAAAGCAAGATTAATGCCAGGCACACCATCTCACAGAGAAGCCATTAAATCAGTCTTTGAGTAAAAATTTGAATACTGAATTTTTTTTTCTATTTTTTTTTCCTCTTTTTTTTCTCAGTTCTCAACAGTCTGAATGCCATTCCAGGGTGCAAGGATATTAACAGCCCCAAGGCCCCTAGTGGATTTGGTTCATATTGCCTAAAATTAGTGGAGAAACAACACTGTGCCTGTCTGAACTTTGACCTTCAGGGCAGTGGCTTAGGCAGTCAAATAGAAAGATTTTATTTACCTATAGAGTAAATCAACATTCGTTATTAAAGATTTTACCATGTTAGAAAGCAACATTCTAAACTGCATAATGCATGTCAATATTCCATATACTTAAATATGCTATGTCATCTATCTGCAGCCCTATCAGCATTAGACACATTTTTTCAATTCCATGTTAATCAACACAGACCCATTTTACATACAGGCTTCACTTCAGGGGGCCCCAGCCTTTTTGAGCTTACAGGCCCCACTGGAATTCTGATACAGTGTGGTCATCATAGCCACAAAATGGCCGCCACAGGAGGCAGAGCCAAACCCAAAATGGCTGCCATATATTACTTTCAGTCACACAGTGAAAATCCGTGTCCTGTGGTGGCATCTGCTGCCAAAGCAAAACATTTTCAGCAATCTGCAAAGCCTTTCAAATCTCAAATGGCCAATCAGAAGCCTGGCACCTATTTTCTAAAACCACTTGGCAGGCAACCAGGAAAGGTGTCAGCGGGCACCATGGTGTCCACAAGCACCACGTTGGTGACCACTGCTCCACACTCACACAGCACTACTGTGGATTAGAGTTCCCAGTGCACATTTGAGCATGCACTGAAAGGGAAAGAAATTTACCCTTTTAACTACTTTTTTACTCACACTGAAAGAGGATTACTTAAAGGCAGGGTTCCTCAACGTGGCACCCATCATGTGGGTGGGCCAGATGAGGCTTTTTTCCAGCAGGGCTTCTGAATGGCTGTGCACATTTTTAAAAAAAGTTTTGGCACCAGTTGCCACCACAGCACAAGGATCTTCACTGTGGGACTGACAGTAAGCTGTGTGTATGCAAAAAAAAAAGAGATGTATTTTTTTTAAAATGTATGTTCAGTTTGAATGGCATTCTGTTAAAAGCTTCAGCCTGAAGTGTTGAAGAATTACTATTAGAGTTATGGATAACCTCACTCCCCAACATTCTGTATTTGGCTCCGCCTCCCAAGGCAACCATTTTGTGGTTGCACCCACCCCCTCGCCAAGTCAGTAATCTAAAAGTTCCTGCAAGCTCAAAAAGGCTAGGGATCCCTTCTTTAAAGAGATACTGTACTATGTTCAACATTCATCCAAGGTTTATAATCAGTCTGAAGTTGAACCCTCTTAATCACAACTTCCTTGCAAAGCTTACTGATATAGCAAGGAACTGATACCTAATCCTGAATGAATGAACTTAAGTCACAAGGCTTTTCATAATTGGTTTTCAGTTTTAGAAGTGATTTGAGCCTTGTAACTCTGAGGCCGGTATACACAGTTGACAATCAGCTTTCTGGCAGACAGGCAAACAAGCATCACTATACAGCTATACTACACTGTTGGAACAGTAGATTCAACAGAAACAAACCAGGCCAGAAACCTGAGATTATCTGCTAAACCAAGAAGCTTACCTTCCCAGCCCTGCAACACAGTGTACAGCAACACAGCAGCCAGGTTCCTCACGAAATTTGGTTTTCAACAAGTTGAGCCAGTCGTCCACAATCTCGCTGGGGGGTGGTGCTCCATCATCAAATGGCCAGTCCTATTGAGGACAGGGAAAGTATTTCCACTAAATAATTCTATCTGCAAATCAGACTATAACATTACCACATACATACTCATCCCTGGGAGGGTCACAAAAATAGGGAAAATGGGCCCTCAGTTTTTCAAAAACTTTGAAATGCCTGATGCTTTGATGTGTTCGATTTTTGCAACCTGCATTTAATTGTGCAGCTGCGATACACTGTTTTAATGCTGACTTTATATGCATTTTTATTTTAAAATGCCCTAAGTGCTATTTATGACTCAATTGGCTGTTTAATTTTCAAATAAACTCAATGGAACGTGAGCAGGTGAATTAAACAAATTTAGGTGGAAGTGTGAAATTGCCTTTCTGATTTAGTAGAAGCCATACCTTACAAACACACGGACCTGAGAGAAAAACTGAACATACTTTTAAAAGACCATTACCAATTTTAACAGTTAGTTCATATCTTATTGATGCAATGTCTGGCAGGGTATCTGTATCTGAACTACACAAAAACCCTTCTTGAAGCATAACAGGGAATCAAAAACTCAGTTCAAGGCAGATTATAAATCTTATTATCTGCAAAATGTTTCAGGCAGAAGCAAAACGCAAGTGTTACCATGTACTCCTTAGTAATTGGAAATTTACAATCTTTTTTTTTTTAATCCCCCTGGAGGGGGGGTATTGATTTTTTTACAACACTACAAACTACAACTGAAAATATAGGAAGGGAAACTACCTCTAAGGAGAAAGAAAAGAAACCCACTAATGACTAAAACCCCAAGAGTAGGAGATCAATACATCAGCTTATTTCCATATTAATCTAAAATGCTGGTAATACATTGAACATAGTCGGTTATGCTAAGTCATTTATCTTTTAAGCATCCATTTATCTGTTAAATGAAACCCTCAGAACATCCCAGAGTTATTTCTAAATTTTCAGGTACAATTCAGAGTCCTTCAACCTTTATTTTCTCATATCTTTTCTTATACTCAATTTATATGGACTTTTGGGGGCTGCCGCCCCCTTTTCAGAGAGAGAGTCCTCGTCAGAAGACACTGAGCCTAACTCGCCATCAGATTTGCTTTCTTCTTCTTCCTTCTTGTCCTCCGCTAGTTCCCCCAGCTGTGTTCTCAGGAACTCGTGTGCTTTAAGAACAGAGTCAATCTTTTCTTTTTTTGTCATGGAGCTTGAAAATGACAACTTCTGGAATTAACCATCTGTAACTGATGCCATTTGTTTGTAAAAAAAGGATTAAGTCTTTATATTTCTTCCTCTTCTGTCTTATTTCAAATGGAATGTCTTTTAAGATCCTGATATTTTTGTCCCCGATTTTCAAGGGTGTTCCCGTAGTTGCTTTCAAAATAGAATCTCTTACATGTCTCTTTGAGAATCTGACTACTATTTCCCCAGGCAGACTATTTTTCTTGATGTATAAGGAATAGGACCTGTAGAACACATCCATCTCACTATAAAGGTATTTTGCTGTCAAATCTATCAATGGGACTATTGCATCACTCAACAGTTGCTTCAGATTCTCTCCTTTATTTTCTGGGACCCCTTGGAACCGTAGGACCAAATTTGCTTTCTCCATTTGCAGCTGTAAAAGTTACGACTCTTCCATAGCTTGTTTCATTTCCAGTTTTTGTACCTTTTTCTTGACTTTTTTAGTATTGGCATCCATTTCCTTCATGTGCTCTGCCATTTGCTCTGTTGCATTTAAGGATTTAGTTAATTGTAGCTGCTGTGAAGCCAAACTCTGACCGATTGTTGACAATTGTTGCTTGATGTTAGTCATCTCATTCACCAGAAGATGCAAGAAATCTGCCAACAGTTTGGAAAGCTCAGTGATCTCTTCCGTTCGAGGACTGCCCACTAGTTTCGCTTTCAACAGTTTGTCTTTATCCGGTATCTTCCCCGTCATCTTTTTGGATTGTTTACTTTTCTAAAAGTTGCTAAAGTCTCTGATATTTGCCCATACGCTTATCTGCGCTCTGGTAAGTCTCTTAAAACAGATATAGACGCTTATTTTTCTGCTCCCCCCTCTTTATTTCCGTGTTTCGTTTGTGCATTTGGGAGGGGCCCCTCCCCCGCTTGCTTTTCGTCGCACTTTAAGGGGGGCAGCTTCCTTTTTAAATCTTCATGCTCGCTTCAACCCGACTCACAGTTCGTTGTTGGCCAGCCGGCCTCACTTGGCATCGTTTTTTTTTGCCCGATCTCCAACACTTGTCCTGGTCAGCAGCACTAGTACCATGCGGTCACTCAGCGGCAGGACATTCAGGGCGGAGGAGCGCCTCAATTCTCCGGCATCGCGCCGGCGAAGAGGTCGCCCCTCAAAAGCCCCCTGGCTACAAGCCTTTTACCAAGGCTTCGGGGGGGTCACGACCTGTCACACCCCCTCCTACACGCTGGTGTGCAGTTTGCATCCCCGGGACATCCGGGAGATGCGTCTGCCTGCATGTTGCCATAAACCAGAAGTCGAAATTTACAATTCTTAATCTCTTTGTTTTCCCAGTGACCCCCTAAATCAGGCTGAAAGAGAATGACTTGTCTAGTTTGCCTGAGAGCTTCAAGACAAAGACAGGATTTAGTCCTGGATCTCTCACATCTCACACCAACACGGTGCTACAGCATCCCTTTGATTTAAGTTCCAGGAGGCTGATTTACTTCCTTATTCTGAGGCTCAAAAGGGGTAACTCACTGGATCGTAAGACCTGATACAACTTGTCATATCAGTTCAGAAAAAAGTTAAGCTTGGCATTTAAAACACCAATAAAGGTTAAAATTGGGCTGAGGAACCCTGCATGCTTTGTCAGATGAACAACACTGCTCTCCTTATAAAGACCAGTGTTAAATGTACAGATTTTGAAAGCAATTTAAACCACTGCTATTCAGACCAGCATCTAGTGATTTCAGCATGGCCCATTAGGTCCCACATAATTTAATTTTCAAAAGTGGACGAAGCTGTTTTAAATCTGCCAAGTAATGTTCTAATGTTTACAGAAACTGTCATCTCTGGCAACATCAGTGTTTTATTTTTATCCTTTCAATCCACTTAGAGCTCTCCTTAATTAGCCAGACTACTAATCCAATTACATCAATGCCACAGCTACCAGAGCCTCATGAAAAAGTGTGATAATGGCCAATTCCTCCCTGAAACATACCATTTCCCGAACCCTAGTTTCAGTCGTATTGATCATTGTAAATGTGAGCTACGTATGACTGTGTGTGTGTGTAGAAATAATCGCACCTCATCTTCATGTTCCCACCTCAGAACTCCATTGTGACCAGGAATAACCAATAGCGATTGGCTTCACTAATCTGTACAGCAAGGTCTCTATGCATAGCTTCCTAAGCAAGGCAGGCAGGTGGTTTCGTTTTCTATTGGATGATTCTGTCACAGAGGTGTTTTTATATTTTGATGTTGTTACTAACATACCACTGAACTTTGATTTGTGAGACTGTATCATGTCAGTGGAATATGCTTTAAGCAAAACCCTGGACACTGAAAAAGTCATTCTGAAATCCAGTGAATCCTTCCTTTGATAGCACAGAAGTTGTTGTCAGTCCTAATTCCTAAACATGACTATAGCTGGAGCAGGGGTGGAAACTAGTCAGAGGGTCAAAAATACTGATTTTACTGCCCAAAATTTTTTAAAAACTGACCAAATACTGACAAAAACACTGACAAATTACTGAACAATTTAATGTCAGCCTACTGATAAGCCAGCGTTTTAAATGTAAAACTAGGACATTAAAATGATTATTATCTGGCCTCCACCAGCCCCATAGCCAGCTTTATAGTTAGATGTGACCCAGATAAAAAGATTGCACACCTTTTTATTGATTTTTTAAAATGAACAGAGGACAATGTTTTCATTATAGTACAAAATTTATGGCAAAAAAGAAGAGGAGATTGGATTTATACCCCAACCTTCACTACTCAAAGGAGTCTCAGAGCAGGCTTACAAACTCCTTTCCCTTCCCCACAACAGACACCCTGTGAGGTAAGGGGGCTGAGTTAGCTCTGACAGAAACTGCTATTTTTCAAGGCCCAAGGTCATCCAGCAGATACAAATGGAGGAGTGGGGAATTAAACCCAGTTCTCCCAGATTAGAGTCCACGCACTTAACCACTACACCAAAAAGATTCCCGTTTAAAATAATCACATACTGCAGACAATAAAATAGCAAAACAGCAAAAACATATTAAAAACCAAACATAAAGTAATAATTATGACAACAAAACATAATTACTGTAAGGTAAGACTTGTCTTTGCTTGTACTTTATCTTTGGTTTTTTTATGAAAAAAGAACCAGCCAGCAGCCTGCCATCCCTGGTGGAGGCCGTATTGGGCTGGGCATTGGAACACCCTAGACTGATTGTCCTGCGTGATTTCAATGTCCATGTGGACGATGTGGCCTCCACTCAGGCGATGGTGGTGCTGGGACTCTCCCAATATGTAATGACTCCCACTCACCGGGCCGGACACACACTCGATCTGATCTTTGCGGCAGGAGTCACGGTGGACCGGGTCACTGTCTCAGCAGTGCCATGGTCGGACCTTCATGCCCTGAAGGCCCATCTGAATGTTTCACCCCAACCCTGTTTGGGCAGTGAGCAGATTTCAGCTTGCCCATGGAGCCAAATGGATCCTATGTGGCTTCAAATGGCCCTGTGGGATCTGGTGCCCCGGTGGCTCATTAGAGGAGTTTGTGGAGGATTGGCACAGCTGACTCTTGGCAGCCATCAACGAGATCGCTCCCCGACACCCTCTGCGCCCTTACACTAGGCTGGCTCTTTGGTTTACCCAGGAGTTGTGGCTGATAAAGCAAAGGCTAAGATGGCTAGAGAGACAGTAGCAGTGCACCTGCAACGAAGCCAGAAGAACATCTTATAGGACATTTATGAGATCTTATGAGATGGCAGTCAGAGTATTATGTGGCCATGATTGCATCTGCGAGCTCATGCCCAGCCCAATTATTTAGAATAATTCAGTCTATTTATTTATTTA